CTGCCTTGTGGCCACTGTTGGGCCTCTCCCCACGCCAGGGCGGGGCCCCTGCTGCAGGTGTACCAGAAATGCAGGAGCCCCCAGTGGCCGTAGAACAAGACACTGCTGTCCGCATGGGAAAGGTGGGTCTGGTGATGGGCAGATGTCTCCACACAGCTCTCAGAAATAGCTTTGTTTTCATAGAGGTGGGCTACACTAGGCAAGTTGCCTGCCTTTGAGGCACAGCCCCAGGTCTGAAATACTTTAAAGCAAAATATCTGGTGGCCCTACTTGCCCTGAATTCCTGATTCTGAGCGTGGGCTTTTTTGTCCCATGGGAAACTGCCCCCAGCCATGAGCGTCAGGCTGGATGCTTTCTGGAGCTGAGGCTGCAGATGGGGGCTCATGGAGGGGGTCACGGCCTGTCACTCGGCACTGATGAAGCCTGTTTCTTATTTTAGGTGTCTGGGTAGCTCCAATCTTCCAAGGCACAGTGTTTTTGGTCAGTCTGATGCCCCAACCATTCCTTTCAAAGAGGCGGTGGTGTGACCTCTAGTGGGCACTCAGGGTCACTGCAGCCCACAATACCTGAGCAAAGACAGGGCTTTGTAGGGCTTTCACAGCCCTGACTGTGGCTTTCAAGTCTATAGGTGGCACAAGGCAGTGTCCTATGTCCTCGGAGGAAGCTGCTATGCAGTGAGGGCGTTCTCCACTCTCTTCCAAACAGGGAAGACCACTAACCCCTTGTCCCGCTTCACCTTGATCTGGAAAGGAAGGTGCCTCAGCTGCCACGTCCTGCCTGCTAACCCAGTGTGTGTGTCTGTCTTATTTACATTTTTGAGTTGAGGGCCACTTAAGCCTTACAGTGGGGACAGAATGTTGTCACCCCTCCAGATCCAAACTGACCTATAGTTCACTTCCCTCTTCCAGAGTGTCCAGTCTATGCACACAGTAGGGATCCATCCATTCCCTGCACACAGTAGGGAGCTCAGTTCACTTCTCAGAGCCATTTCTCAGCTTGTTTCATTACTCTTCCTTTTAAGGAGCCATTTCAGGAATTTTTTTTTTTAACAAGTGCTTCCATGTGGAATGAATATATATAATATATATTTATGTAGTATTTCATATATGTATTCATCAATATTTATGAGAGAGAGAGAGAGAGAGAGAGAGAGAGAGAGAGAGAGAGTCTCTGAACAGATGAGGCTGGCTGTAACCCATGCTCCTGATGCTTTAGAGCGTTGGGATTACAGGTGTGTACCACCACGCCTGCACATCATCAGACTCCACACTCCCAGGGTGGCCTTGAACTCGCAGAGATCCACCTGCCTCATCCCTGAGTCCTGGGATTAAAGATGTGTGCCAGGACTCAGGGATGAGCCACCCTGGGCTATGTAAGATTGAAAAGAGAAACAGAGCTCACACGAAGGAGATTCCTGCACTTGGGATCACCTGTCTTTAAACCCAGCACTAGAGAGGTAGAGTCAGGAGTGATATGGCTGGGGCGGGGGGGGGGGGGGGGGGGGGGGGGGGAAGGGGGGGGGGGGGGGGGGGGGGGGGGGGGGGGAGGAGAGGAATATAAGGGAGAAGAGGTAGGAATTCAGTGGAGTCTGAGGATTTGTAGAGACAGGATCTTGCCCTTTGGTCTGAAGATTTGGTGGAGGTAAAAGGCTGTTTTGCTTTTCTCATCTTCGGGTTGAACCCCAATATCTTCCTCTGGATTTTTATTATTCGTGCTACAGCAGCCTGGTGATAAACTCTTTACTTCTTGTAGGTCTCAGGGAGCCCAGCCTGGGTGCATCATGACAGGTGCCAGCCTCTGTCCCTCAGTGTCACCCAAAGAAGTGACTGTGGGAAAGGAAGGAAGGTAGAAAGTGCCCAGCATCTATAAACTTTACCTGTGATCACCTCTGTCACCATATGAAGCTCACACTCTGCCTTGCTCAGTCAGCTCTAAGTGAGGCTTCTTCTGTGCACCCTAAGAAGTGAAGCCCACAAACAGCTGGTGACAGCCAGAGCAATTTGGGCTGAGGGAGGAGGTGGTTTAATAAGGGGACCACACGGCACTGTGGAGCACCAAGGAGCATCATGGCACTGAAGGAGGCTGAGCTTCCCGGGGGATGGAGTCTGACAGTGTGGCTGTTTGGATGAGGGTGTGTGTGTGTGTGTGTGTGTGTGTGTGTGTGTAGTTAACTACGGCCCTGGAGGCCGTGATGAGGACCGTGGCTCTCTCAGCCCCATAGAAGCCCCCGAACTGGCTGCCTGGCTGAGAATGGCCTGCAAGTATGAAGGGCTGGGCAGCTTCTGTGAGGCCTGGAGGTATGGGTTCCTGAGTGTCAAGGTTGAGGGGCTGGAGAGGTTGGATGTGGGGCAGAGTTAAGAGGTGTAGCACGAATAATAAAAACCCAGAGACAGAATTTGGGGTTCAACCTGAAAACCAGAAAAGCAAGGCAATCAAGCCACTAGTGAAGCCTTACTTCTACCAAGGCTGGGCGCCCACAAACTAAGCAGACTAAGCCTCTCTCTCCTCCCATTTATATTCCCTATAGTGCTGGGATTAAAGACATAACTCCCTAGTACTGGGATTAAAGGGGTGAATCACCATCACCTGGATTTATTTCTGCATTGATCTTGCATAGTCCAGGGTGGCCTTGAACTCACAGAGATCCATCTGCCACTGTCTCCCAAATCCTTGGATTAAAGGTGTGTGTCACAACTGCCTGACCTCTTGTGGCTTAGCTTTGCTTCTGATCTTTGGGCAAGCTTTATTAATAAAACATAAATAAAATATCACTATAAAGAGGTGACTGTTGGGTCTGACTCCACTTGCCTGCCTGGGTCCGGCCAGTCTGTGGCTACACTCTGGAGCCTGCTGCATGGAGCTTGAGTTGACAACAGGACAGGGCAGCTGCCGCTGGCTCAGCAAAGCATCCACTGGAGTCCTGTGCTGGGTGGCCCTTTGGAAGATAAGCTGCAGAAAGCCATTGCGGAGCTCTACACACCCTGGGCCTAGCACAGTAGACCTCATTTCTGTCCACTCTTGCAGTCGCTGGGCCTCTGCTGCCCTGCTGGAGTCAACAGGGAACAAGAGCTGCCCGAGAGGGACCGTTGATCCTATCATTACCATGGAGCTTCTGTTCCCAGAATTCCATAGTTCCATTGGAAAGTCAGTTCCCACAGAGCACCATGGTCGTGGGGGACACAGAGGGTGCACAGGCAAGTAAGTAGGTGGCTGCTTCTCCCAGATATGTCACAGGGAGGCCTAGCACCATGGGGTGCAGGCTGACGGAGGCATTTGGGAAGCAGCAAGCTATTAGAGCCTGTGTGGGTCTCTTCCCTTTCCTGCTCTGATGACAGTGAGGAAGATGACAGTGACACCATATCCCATGGCATGCTGGGGGAGGACAGAGTGAAGGAAGACCAGGCACAGCCACTGAAAGAACTGGGACGTGCCACCACTGGACACAGGGAGGAAAGGGTGGCGATGATACCTGTGACCCTAAGAGGAAAAGGTAAGGGTCAAGACCGCAGAGCTGACAGTGTCTACTCCGGGACAGTCACAATACCACAGTCAGAGCAAGAAGCCAAGAGTCCCGTAGCGAGGGCACCAGAGGAGAAATGTAAACTGAGCTGGCCTATGGTGGTGCACACCTTTAACCCCAGCACTCAGGAGGCAGAGGCAGGTGAATCTCTGTGAGTCTGAGGCCAGCCTGGTCTACACAGTTAGTTCTAGGACTGCCAAGGCTACACAGAGAAACCCTGTCTTGAAAAACCAAAACAACAACAATAACAGTAACAAAAGCCTCCAGCAAAACAAAACAAACAAAACAAAACCTCACAAAAACCAAACACCCAAATCTACCTTTAAAAAAAAAGAAGAAGAAGAAGAAGAAGAAATGTAAACTCACACTGGTCAGAGGCAATGGGGTGGACTTGCACTGGAACCCTCCAAAGTCCAGTCGGAAAGGCATGGAAGATGTTCCCAGAAGGGGAGTGTGTTCCTAGCATTTTGTTTTCATTTTCTGTTTTCCTTCCTTCCTTCCCTCCCTCCTGGGTTACTCTGTAGACCTGGAATTCTTGGCAATCCTCACACTCTCCAGGGCTTTCTGTGCTCAGCCTCCTGAGCAGCTGGGATGTCATCTTTCCTGCAGCTCAGACTCCTCGGCTGTGGGCTTGCTGTACTGTCCAGCATGGCTGTGGTGGCCATCCTTTCTCGCATCCTCGGGATTTTCTTGTTGTTATGAGCAGAGGCCCACCACGCTGCGGCATCAGTCAATATCCTTGCACGGAAGGGAGTTGGGGTGCCCAACCCAGCCCACCAGGTCTCTGAGCCGTTTGCCAGATACGGATACACCATTGGTCTGTGGCACTGCCGCAGCGATGCGAGGCCTGGGGACTGCGGGACAAGCAGCCCCTCTTGGGTGTGGCTGTCAGAAGGTCACTGGAAAGAGCTTGTTTAATTTGGGACCCGCTAGTGGCAGGCCCTTCCACAGGGATTCGAAGCGGTCATGAGGAGGTGGTGACCCAGCAAAGAGATGAGAAGGAAAGCCCAGGGACCCCACAGGACCTACAGGGCGATTGTAGGGACGTGTTCTGAAATGGTCACCGCTGTAGTATATGGAGGCAGGGGTAGGTGTCCATATTCCCCTCCTCTGCTAGGGGCAGCTCCGGGATGGGGCTGGAAGGAGCCACCTGGCAGAAATTGGTTCCCTTCATCTGCCTATTTGTTGATTGGCAACTTTTGTTTCCTTGATACTTAACTTTTGCAATTTTTTGTAAATTCTGGATTTTAACTCCTGCCTGAGGTAGGGCTGGATAAGATTTTCTCCCATTCTGTGGGCTGTTTCGGGGTAGGTGGGCGGGATGTGTCCGGCACACGCATGGTTGTTAGAGGACAACTTGCGGGAGTCTTCGCCTTCCACCATGTGAGTCCCGGGATTGAACTCTGGCCTTCATGCTTGGCAACAGGTGCCCTAATCCGCTGAGCCATCTCACTGACTCCAAGCGCTATGTTTGGTCTTCCCAAAGCCCTGGATGGAAACGTTTCTTTTAAAGTTACAATTCGCGCACATCTGACGGGCATGTGAAGCCCAGGGTCACTGAGCTTTCGCCCCATTTAATAACGAATGGCTCTGGATAGAAGTGGGTCCCAGATGTCAGAGACACTCAAAGGGAATGTAGCCCATGGGAACTCCCAGGCCTGTCCTACCTCCTGTCTCTTTTCAGGGGACCGAGGTCGGGAACAGGGTCGGGACCGGGACCGGGGTGCCTCGCGCGCGCAGAGGACCATCCACAGGAAATGGTGAGTGGCCTCGGTCTGGACACCACGTCAACTTGGGCGACGAGTGCAAAGGGAGCGGGGCTCAAGTGTCCAGAGTCCCCTCTGTCCCACAGTTCCCATGAGCCGCTGCAGAAAGTAGCCAATCAGATGTCAGCTCAGTGCACGACCAAATACGACAGCTTCTGATTGGTTGGTTGAGGGCCAATCAGCGGGTCCAGCGGGAAGCTGTTGCGAAGCACCGCAACCCTCCAGCCCTTGCGAGGACTCTGGACCAAGCCTGGCTCTGGTCCTACAAGGCTGCATAGCGCATGCCTAGCACAGCCCATCATGACAGATCAGGTCAGCCCAGAGCTTGCACAGGTGACCTCGAAGCTCACCTGTGAGTGCCTGGAGCCCCGGGGCCGCCCGGTTCAGCGGTAGCGCAGTGGCAAGGAAACGGAAAGGCGACCTACTCTTTCCATCCCTGGAAATGTCAGGAGCAGGCCTTCAGGCATGGCTGTATCCAGGTGTGCAAGGACTGTGGCCCTACATGGTTTCTCCTCAGCCCTCATTTCCCTTGTGCTGGCTTCCTTCCCAGGCGAGATGACCACCCAGACCACATGGGTTTTTCCTTGTTATTAGGGTACCTCCATCAAAGAAGTTCCAGATTTAGTCTCCAGGGTTATGAGGCTGTAGTGACCAGTCTCTGAGACCAGGCTGGGTAGGCTGGATGCTGTGCAGGGCAGCCCTGTGTCTTGTTTCCAGTCATCAGTAGGAAAATTGAGTGCAGTGGCCCGAAACACACTCCAACACTCATGTAATCTTAGTACTCAGGAGACTGAAGCAGGAGGATTGCTGTGGGCTTGAGGCGAGCCTGGATTATATAGCAAAATCCTGCCTCAAGTAAACAAAGCAGACAGTAATGGTTGATTATAATGAAAAACAAAAAATGCTCAGATAGCCGGGCGGTAGTGACGCACGCCTTTAATCCTAGCACTCGGGAGGCAGAGGCAGGCGGATCTCTGTGAGTTCGAGACCAGCCTGGTCTACAAGAGCTAGTTCCAGGACAGGCTCCAAAACCACAGAGAAACCCTGTCTCGAAAAACCAAAAAAAAAA